AAAAAGAGATCAAAGATATCAGAAAATGGAAAGATAATCTCCTCCCAGATAGGCAGAACCAATGATGTCAAAATGGCTATACTTACAAAACTGATATAGATAAACATTTAACACAATACCAATCAAAATACCAATAGCATCCCTTACAGAACTATAGAAAACTATACTACAGTTTGTAGAGAATCAGAAGAGAAAAACACTAGCTAATCCTGGATAACAAAAGCAAAGCAGGAGACATAACAATCTTGGATTTCAAGTCATATTACAAAGCCACAGTGATTAAAAACAGCATGGTACTGGCACAAATACAGATATTTGGGTCATTGGAATAGCATAAAGAATGCCGAAATAACCCCAGGAACATTTAGCTATACAATCTCAAAACTTTAGCTAAGGGAAAGACAACCTGTTTAATAATGGTACTAGGAAAACTGGCTAGCCAAATGCAGAAGAGTGAATCCAAACCCAAATCTCTCACCAGGTACTAAACTAAAATAAAAATGGATTAAAGATGTAAATGTTAAGTCAGAAGAAATCTGCCTGAAGACAACCTATAGAATGGGATAAAATTTTGCCAGCTATTCCTTGACAGAGGACTAATACGTAGAATTTATACAAAACTCAAAGAAAATTAACTCCCCCCCAAATAAAAGGCTCAGTCAAAAATGGGCCTGAAATGAGCAGACACTTAAAAGTACAAAGAGCCAATAAACACATGAAAAAAAAATGTTCACCATGTTTGGCCATTGGAGAAGTGCAAATTAAAATAACACTGAGAGCCCATTTTACTCCAGAAACAATGGCTGACATCAAGAAATGAAATACTAAGAAATGCTGGTGAGTCTCTGGGAAAAAAGAAACCCTTCCACACTGTTGATGAATGTGTAAACTAGCACAACTGTTATATAAATCAAAAGGGAGATTCGTCAAAACACTAAAACTAGAACTACCATTTTATCCAGCTATTTTCCTTCTAGGTCTCTTCCCAAAAGAGGTAAAGACTTCATGTCACATGATAAATGAATACCCATGTTTTTAGCAGTATAATTCACAGTAGCTAAGTCTTGGAAGCAGCCTATATGTATGTCCATCAACAGATGAATGGATAAAGAAAGTGAGGTATTTATACAGAATGGAGTTTTACTCTAAGTAAAGAATGATAAAGTTGAGTCATTTTAACAATATGGATGGGCTAGGGATTTAGCTCAGTGGTTCCATCACCTGCCTCACAAGCACAAGGACCCAAGTTCGATCCCTGGTAGCAAAAAAATGAAAAAGAAAAGAAAAGAAAACGGATATACCTTGAGACCCTAACATTTAATGAACTAAATCACACATCTAAGTTAAAGTTTTGCAAGATTTCTCTTACATGTGAAACTCCATACAAAAGTAAAGACCAAAAGAAAAGATAGATGATAGGAAAGAGGGAGAGAGATCTTTTTCAAAAGTAGGGAAAGTGGACAAGAGAAAGAGAAGAGAATGAAAAAATAATATATAAAATGTATGAACTTCACAGAAGGAATGTAATAATTAACATGTACTAATAAGAAAATAAAAATTGAAAAAAATCTAAAGACAAGATATGCTATTTAGCCAGGCATGCTGGCTCACGCCTGTAATCCCAGCACTTGGGAGGTTGAGGTGGGAGGATCATTGCGAGGTTTAAGAAAAGCCTGGGCTACGCAGTAAGTTCACGGGCAGCCTGAACTAAAGACAAAGACCCTGTCTCAAAAAACAAAACAAAACAAAAATTTTTAAAAAGACATGCTACTAACTGAATAAAGAACCCTGTATGAGGTCAGGAAAAAAAATTAAATCAAAGTTTTGCATAATATCCCACAGTTACTATTTAGAAAGTAATGAAGTCTATCAAATTTCAAGTATAACAAGAATAGGTAAATTATCAATATCTTAGTACTCTAACATTCTGGAAGACTAATAAATTTCCTAGAATACAAAGGATATTTTCCAATAATTCAAAACGCAAATTTTGTGCCAACCAAACCACAAAAATACAAACAATAAAAAAAGATTACTCCTTAGGATCATAAAGATTTCTATGATCTAAACAATAACGAGAATTTAAAAATAAAGGACTCTCAAACTATATATTCCTACTAATCTGAACAGAAAATGTTTCTTTGAACAAACCTCAGGTAGAATCCTGGTACCAAAATAATAGTAATAATAATAATCATGATGATGATGATGAAAAAGGAGGAGAAGGAGGAGAAGGGGCAGCAGCAGCAGCAGCAGTCTATATTTATATTAACAAAAAACTTTTTAAATGTAATGTTAACCTGGGTGAGAAAATGTAATCATTCTTCTTTGTTGCTTTGGTATGAAAAACTACCTGGAAAACAGGTAGCTCCCTGAAGCTCCCTGAAGCAGCAACATATTTATATGATTCCACATTAAATTCTTTATCACATGTATAATTTCTATCTTTAGTAATAACATTTATTGTAATTAAAATATTTACATGGAATATCTAGTCTATTACTGAAGTAATTAGATATAAAAGCTGATAACAGAATTGTTTGATACTATTTTATTTTTTATAGTGATATCCCCTTTACTTTGTGATATCCTCTTCTGAAGAACAATATTAATATTGGATTTGTTTGGCAATAGTGAAGGAAGTCCACAGAAAAGGAATCAGTCAAAACTATCATTATCATCTAGTTCACACATTTTCATTAAGGAACTCCCTCATGTTTCACTGTTAGTATAATTCTAACAAGAATGGTTACCTGCTTGTGTATCAGCTAGGGCAAACAATCGGAAACACACAAGAGGAGACAACTTACTGACACAGGCTGGTAATGAAGAAAGAGACAGAACAAAAACAAAAACATAAACAAAATCCTTTAAAATATCTTGGGTAAAAGCCTTTTAGTTTATATTTATGTAGAGCTACTGGTATATTAAGAACCATTACTGATATGTATAATGACAACCCCTAAAAGTCATAAAAAAATGGTTAAATTTCATTCATTATAGTAGAAGGAATCAGAGAAATTCTCATTAAATGATTAAAATAAGGATTTTAGTATTACAGGTTTGAAATTAAGTATCTAGAAAAATTCAGTAAAATGCAATACTCTATTCCCAAATTATGCCAAACTCATATTAAATATTAACATAAACATTCAGTAAAGTTAATTCCTATAATGCCTATCACACTCATTAGCAGATTTTTTAAAAATATGGAATAATACTGAGATCCAAACTTTTATTGTCTATTTGCTTATGCTGTGTGGCCAAAAATTAGGCTTGATACAAAATCTAATCAATTAAATACTATACATAATCTGAAATTTTCTGATAAGCATACCCTCACAGAATAGCATATCAGGTATTTGTAGTTTTCTTTCTTTTACTTTATTCTACTTGATTCTACGGAATCAAATCAACCAATGGAAGTGAGGCAAAAGGCTTTACAGAAAGAACTTAGAATGCTTACAAAGATTTTTTAAAAATTACAATACATGCTATAATACTTAAAAAACCAACTATACTTAAAAGTGTGCATTAAAAACAAATCAAAAATTCCAATTTGTAATAAGGAAACAAATTAAAGGTATGTTTAACTGCAGCATGAAAGATTTAACAAATTTAATAGAGTCCTGTATAGTCATGAAATATGAATAACAGAAGCTTCTGTAAAAAAAAAGACACCTTGATTTTTTTAGACTATTCTTTCCTACTGTAAAAAAAGTCCCTTTTGTACATAAAACATCCAATAAATTTAATAAAACTGTTGATTGCACAGAAAATACTATCATATAAATTTTTGAGGAATTTATTAAAGCAGAAAATTTTAGTAAAACAATCTTCCATATCAAGAGATTTCCAAGATACCTAAAGTATATACAAAAGCAGGAGCCTAGTGAGGATCTAAACCACTATTAATGGAAATATTTTTAAAATGTATTTTACAGTTTTCTGCATTCTCCAAACATGTTTTCTTGATAACTGATACCTATCATTATGAGCATTATTTTATCACTTAAGTTATAACAATCTCTCAAAAATTCACTGAAAGACTTCTGAAATAAGGTTCTTTCACCCTATTAAATAACCTAGAAAGCTGTACTTTTGTGGTATGTCAGTCTCCTCCATTCCGATCTTCAGAGTGCTACAAATATACCTTTTCCAAATCAAGTAAAAATGATCATTACAAATTTGTGATCTCAAACTTGCTGAATCACTAACCATATTTTATACATATTTATGCTAACAGGTTCTGAGCAAAGGCCTAGAAGTGGCTTCATAACATGTCTAAGACTTAACACAGAAAGTTTAAAATGAGGACTGATTGTTTTTGATGTTTAAAGCCTTCTCCATTTATTTACAGATCTGTAATTGTGCTTCAAATCTGTGACATAGCTCAACTACAAATGCCAATTTATAGGTATTACAGTACTTATTTAATAAATAACAAAACTGACTGATCTACCAACTTGGAGAATAAACATAGTGCCCTCATATGGTAGTCTCTCAAGAGCAATGAAAAAGTAGAAAGTAAAAGTAAAGATTAATTATGAATTTAGAATAAGGTTCTTTAAAAAGTCACACTGGTAAGAGTATCTGGGGCTCAATAAACAATTTACATCAGTTTTAATATTACACTTAATTAAAATTTTGTTACTATACAATAAACTTCCATTAATATAATTAGTAATTAATATTTGCAAGATAAACAACTTCTAAAAAAAGACTACCAGTCAAAAAACAACCAATTAGTATATTGGGAAATATCTAAAACTACGACCTGATATAAACCAGGCAAACAAAATTATTTGCTCTTGCACCATTTTTGAATATTGAAAATGAAAACTAGATCATACAGGAGAAATAAAAAGAAATAATGTTTCTATCTTTCATTGACAATTTTCATGTAATCCAGAACAAAAATTTTAAAAGGCTTTAGCAAAAAAGCAGGAATAAATTTTAATGCTGACAATAATAGACAGAACTTTTGGATTAACACCTACCGATTTTTTTCTACTGTTTTCCAGATCTTTGAGTTCATTCTCGATTTTTGTGATTAATTCCCTGAGTTCATCAAGATTAGTGCAAATAAGCTAAAATAAAACACAAAAACACAGCTTGATAACACATAATATAAAACACCCAAAATGTGGTAACAGAAGTTGTTTTAACACACACTGAATTCACAATAAATTATTTTCTCTGCAAACTAGTAAAAGCAATGAAAGCTCCGCAGTTTATATTTTAAGAAATATTTACTTGCATGCTGTATGCACTTCAGGCTTTATATAAAATAAGCTGAAATTCTGACAATGGTAGTCTCATCCCATATCCTCATCTTTACATTTACTTTATAATTCAAGTACTTTCTTAACATTATTAACTTTCAGCCCAGAATGACAAAGATCTGGAAACTCATCCTAGATTTCACAGTTACTAAGTTTCCTTTAAGAAGAACTTCATCAATTCTCCAAGTAGATGAACAAATAAACCCTTGGAGAACTGTCATTGAAACCTTTACTACGGCTTGCTAGTAACTATAAAGGTTAACAAACCTTAGCTATTGCTGTTGGGATTGTTAGTAAAAAAGGACTGTGACTAAATGTAATATATTCAAAGATATAAACAAAATTAAGTACACATTTTTAACATGAGTTAGAGGTTTTTAATATAACCATCTTCAGAGATAGCATCTAATTCCTTTCATAATTATGTGTTTCATTTTATTTTTCCTTGAAAACACTAGCAAATGGCCAAAGCAACTGATTGGTTGATTATTAATAACTGAACTAGCTTGATTTAGTTACCAACATTTTATACAGTGAAGTTTCAACAACAGCAAAGACATCAGTAATTACATTTTAGTTTTTGAATTAGTTCATATATTTAACTTTTTCCTAAAATAATTTAAGCTATTTAAACACATCTATTGTGAAAAATAAATGGAAGATCTCTGAAACAAAACTGCAAACAGAGAAGAAAAACTTCAGATTAAGGTCTGTTTGCAATTATATGGTAATTTTTAAAATATACTTTTATATATTATTAAATCACCATTAATTTTGTCATCTGTTACATTTATTAATTTCTATATAAGGGCACTAATTTCCTAAAGGGTATATTTTCTTCTATTAGAAAAAAAAAACATACAAACAAAAGCAACAAAAGCAAAAATACCTTACGAGGTAATTCCTCATGGCTACTGAATGACAAAAGTAGGAGACAGGGAGCTCCTTAAATTTCCTTTATGAATAGGTTAAGTCATTTAAAATTGGCTGCTGCACTTTCGATCTACACAAAAATGGCAATGTGGTTCTACCCAATAGATTAAGCAAAAATTATCAGATGCTATGTTATAGTCAAAATTAACAATTACTTATTAGAAGAAATATCTGTATAACTGAACGCTCACAAACTTGAAAAATTAGGAAAAATGTTCATGTAAGTAATCCAAATCAAATAATTTCAGGTCTGAGGATGTAGCTCAGTGGTATAGTGCTTGCCTAGTATGTGCAGGCTCTGGGTTTGATCCCTAGCACTACAAATAAAACAAACAACACCCCCTCCCAATTAAACAACTTCAGAGCAGAAAACAGCACACAGTGACGTAGTGGGAGAATATATCTGATATGTGTTAGATAAGGTACATTCCAATTTGACAAATCTGGTTATGAAAGAAATACTGGTGGACAAACAGTGGAGTGGCCAACTAGGTGGGTACCTCTATAACAAGATAATGTTTTCAGCTTCAATTGTAACTATAAAGCTATAGAACACTGTTGGCCCTAGATCAGGTTTTTAGCAAGACCTCAGTGAAGACTAACCTTCTTACAGCATAATCTATTGTGACAGTATGTCAAGTTTGTTCCATATCCTGAAAATGGCTATATTCATATCATAACATAGGTTTCTCACTTGCCACATGGCAAAGCTCAGAAAATTTTTACTTGGATGTTAGCTGTCTCACTATACAAAGAATATGGGTATATTTTATAGAAATGTATAAGAAGAGACATAATACCTTACAACTAAAGACATCCTAAAAAATTTAAGATCTTTTAATTATCAGTTAATAATGAAAAAAAACAAATATTTACATTCCTTCTAAAGGAACAGATAAACACAGCTCTGAAGCCAAACTACGAAAGAGCTATATAAAATGACACAGTAAGTGGCTTACCTAGGTAGTAAGTTGTACTAAATCAGTGCTTCTCAAACTTCAATGTACAAAAGAATTGCGTGGGGATTTTCCTAAAACATAGCTTTTGGTTTAGTAGGACTTAAGTGAGATCTTTCCTTTTGCATTTCTAACAAGTTCCCAGGTAGAGAGTACAGATTACACTTTCTGGTGTAGGCTAAAAAGATTTATCTCTAATTCATGTATAAGCTAATTAAGAGGTAACATAACCTAAGATGAGACACTGGTAGAGGAAACTATAAAACTCTTCCTACTGTATAATATTCTTTAAGAGGTTCCAAAACAAAACAAAACAAAAACTAAGAACTGAATAGGTATTACAGCTTTAGGATGTAATTTATGTCTAATGTTTTTCATGAAATAATATTAAAAGGCCCTCTCTTTAACTCAAGAAGATGACCATATGTGATGAGAGAGGATGCCCTGTAGAGATCAAGAGAACTCCAGGACCAAATTTCAGAGAAACTATTTAAGAAATAATTCCTTACTTTAATGCTTAATTTAAATTATGCCCTTTGGGTAGAAACTCCATAGGTTTGAAAGATATTTGTTTGTTTCATAAAATAATATATAATAGTGTACAAGAATATAAACAATATGGTAATAATATTTAAAAGTAAACCAAAGGGAAAACCACAAATAGATCCAAACAAAACATCAAATTCATTCTTATTTTAATAAGATTCTATAATTTATAAAATAAGCAAAACATTAAATGCATTGTGTAAATTCAAAATTTATACTGCAAACTATTAAGAGCCATTAATATGCAGACATTTTCAATAAGAAAATTTCTCTTCTTTTGGCGGGGGCTGGGGCGGGTGCCGGAGATTGAACTTTGGACCTTGGGCTTTCGACGCAGGCGGCCACCACTGAGCTAAATCCCTGGCCCAGTAAGAAAATTTCTTATTTTTTATGATTACTATACCAACAATGACTTCAAAACCTGAAAACAAGGATATTTTGTGACATGAAAACTAAGTAAGTCTGACAAGCAAGTTAAGAAGATATTTTTACTATAATGTGATTAAGCATAGAAGTTTATTTCAAGATACTATATTTTAAAACTTGAAAAGATTTTCAAAAGTGAATAAAACTCTGTTTTAAGATTGAAAAATATTCATTTTAAGAGCAATTCAAAATGAAGCGCAAGGTCCTGAGTTTGATCCCTGATACCAAAAAAAAAAAAAAAAAGCAATTCAAAAATGACGATTTAATCCAGAGATTCGTAATACAATGAAGTAGTTAAAAACTCGGATTTCAATTTTTGTCCCAACTTGTTACACTGAAGGTAGCATTTTATTTCTTATTCCTGAGTTCCTCCATTTGAATGATATGAAAATATATTCTTTTCAGGGACATGTTAAGGATTTACAAGTTTATGTTTGAAAACAATGCTACTGTGTTCTGGACTTCCTTTGCAAATTAGCAAATAAATTAAACATATGAAACAAGAGCAAGTACACACTGCATGAAAGATTTTTTGGTTACCAATGAAAATAAGAGTCACAGTAACTAATGCTATTAAACTAGTCTAACAAAATCATAAGTAACTTAAATTTGATATAAAAGCTTATCTCCAATATATGAAACATTGAAAATAAAAATATTTCCTAAATTTTTGCAGTTACTGTTGACTAAAAACAAAACTTCTCTCTACGTGCCAATTGCATAACTCATCAGAACACTAGAGCAAGGATAAGCACTGAGTTTTAAATGCAGTCAAATATATTATTTGGTTTTTCACCTTTCCGACTCTTATAGACTTAATTATGTGCCACTGTCGCAAGACCAAATCCAAGATTTATCTCAAGATCTTAAGAAGCTGGAAAAAGTGCCAGGTTCAATAAGAAATGCTCTTAAGCTAGTTTTTAATTTATTTTCCTACTTATAATGCAGCATTTCTTCATCAGAAGAGTTTATCATGTGTATCTGAAAAACAATGAGAAAACTTAAAATAGTGAGCTATCTAATTCTCACAACCCTATGTAAGTAGGTACTATTATTACCTCTCTGGACAGATGAGAAACTTCAATCACAGAGAGGTTAAGTAACTTACCCAAGGTTATAGAGTTAGTGGGTAAGAAGAGCTGGCATTCAAGCTCAAGTACCTGGTTCCAGAATCATGTTTAACCACCATGCAGATTACCTACCTAGACCCACTGAATCAAGGTCTTTGGAGGAGGAAACCCAGGAATCTTCCTAATAAAGGAATCAGATTACTTTGATACTATATATTTTATTATATGTGCTGCCAAAGGGAGCACACTTTGATGTTTATATATAGAATTTAAGAACCACTAATACATTGCTTAGGAAAAAGTAGCACAGATAATGTTAGTCCCTTTATAATATGCAACACACAAAAATCCAATCCACCATTTGAATGTATACAGTAAATACTCTTAGGAGTGGGACAATCATTTGCTTAAAGGTTTAAGTATCACACATATGTATATAAATATAAATATGAGTTCTTCCTGAAACAAGGAGGCAAGTTTGACTGCCAGCTTTTTAAAATTCAACAAAAATACTGTCAAAATAAAATGTGGGTGAGGTCCAATCAGGTCTTACTTTTTAATTCATTAGGACTTAAAAAATAGATCTGACAATTTAATTCCTTAACTTATTTCTCTTTAAGCATGTTTCCTGATAATTCAAAGACCATACCTTTGGCAGATAGGTCAGTTTTTACATAAGAGGTTTAATATCACCAACTTGTACAATCTGAGGTGCTAAATATCATATTACTAAAAGTTTTAGGAAAATAAATTTACTTGTTTATTAGATAAGTATTTTTATATGCAGACAAAAACTTTAAGTTTTACAGTGTGAAAAAGTTTACTAATAAATAACACTATCAATGTGTTTATTTGAAGCAAATAACCTAACCCTTTGGGAGACAACTATTAATTTTGTTTATGAGTAGTACCATGGTATTTGTATCACAAATTAGGCATAAGAACCCCCATTCACCACACACACACACACACACACACACACACACACAACTTAAGAAGGGGACTTTATCTATTTATTTTGAAGAGCTCAATTTAGCAAAACATGTACTTTTGACCTTAAGTTTTCGAGAGTGGCAAGCAAATGGTCAATAACTGACTAAAAGCATCACTTAAAATGTAATACAGTGTTTTCAAACTCTTTTACCCAAGACTCATAGTCAAAGATATATTTTATAATACATGTCATTGTATAATACAGACAATAAAACCAGTTTCATGAAAAAATGACTTCATATTCACATTACTATATGTGGTAACGCTGATAATTTTTATTTTAATTTTATTAGTTAAAAAATGTTGGTCATGGAATTCAATGAATTGATTCATTCATCACTAATATACAGCAGCTTTAATTTAAAAAAACCATTGCCTATGCAGCTGATGTCATTTATTACATGTAAAAAAGTTCACCCACTAATACAGGAACAGAAAAAAACACTAAAAATGGACAGATTTGTCTTAAGATTTATATTCCCAGGACCAATACTTTGAGAAACTGAGGACAAAATTAGTAGGAGGAAAAGCAAAACCTAGTGTGACATCATCAGAAACATGATGATATAACATTATCACTAAATAATGTTATATTAAATAACATTTAATGATACATTACAAACAATGAATGGTAGAAAGGACTCTGAGAAAAACAATAAAATCTTTTTTTTAACTGAATATGCTGGAACCAAAGTTATACACAATAAGATTTTACAGAATATTTGCAATTCATTCCAACAAAGTCATTAAAAAATAACCCAAAATATTCAATTTTTACCAATTAGTAACTTCCATCAAATAGTGTTATGTATACATTTTCTAGATACACATAACTGAAAAACATATTACTGATATTTTTGCAGTAATTGTCTATTTTCATTTCTACATGAGATCCCCAAATTCATGGTAACATTATTTTTATCTTTTGACTATTAAGTATGAGCTTATGAAACCTATGGAAATGGATTAGACACTACTACAAAGAAATTTTTAAACAAGAGTGTCTTTTTAAAAGAATATACTTTATAAACTAGAAAATAAAAGTATTGTTTAAGGTGAAATTCTCTGCTTATTTTTAGTATCGGATATAAAACTCTTGTAACATATTCATATGGTGGCAGAATTACTTTTTTTTTGCAGAAATGTTCAAACCTTAATATTCTCTGAAGTTCATAAATAAGAATGAAAAATATTTGTTTTCAAGTTAATTAATTTACCATTTTCATAATGCCCAAATAAATGGAGCTGGATTACCTTGGCAATATTATGATAGATAAATTATAATTTGTTCTTGAAAGACTTCATTTTATATATTTGCTTATATAGGTAATGCACAAACACATATATAAAAAAGATACATGTATATGCTTATATGTATATTTTTATAAAATATTTCTATAAAAACTGAGTATAGTTTTGATTATTAAAAAAACAACAACAATCTTTTGACTACCAGGAGAAAAAAAAACAGAAGTAAAATATTACAAAATACTAACACATTAAGTCTTGGCTATATCTGTACTTGGAATGACAAAAGACATTTTAAGAAACATTTCATTAAGAATGTATGTATTACAGTTTTTTGAAATTCAGTCAATCTCCCAAGGAATGATATAAACACTGAAAGGAAAAATTAAACTAAAAAGTTTGAGACAAAGTTGAAATATTTACCTGAAATTCGGATCTAGCAGGTGACTTTGAGACAGTTTTCCTCTTCTTAGTAATTGCTTTCTTAGATATGGATTTTTTTCCTTTCAAGATTAAAAGAGAAAAGCTTCATAATGCTGTTTACAGCACTTCATTAGCAAAAATCAAATTACATAGAGCCTTGAAAGTTAAATTATAACAGATGGTTGCTTGTGAGTCAAATAAAAATGATGAATCAAAACAAGCCCCAGTAAAGGCAAACATTAAACTGTAACTACCTGTAACAGACACATTAACAAATACTGCCTTACTTATATAAGAACCAAACTACTGTGATCTCTACTGTTTGTACAAGCATGAAAATTTACTGCAATAAAATTAGGCAAAAAGCCATATTATCACTGCTCTGGTAAAATCTACATTCACAACTTAAAAATGAGACTACGAACAGGAAAAGCCCCTTACCTTTAATAATGACTTCTGCAGCTGGAACTTGCATAAGCACTATATCCGAATATTAGTCTCTAGCCAACCTAATATGAAAATCCTTCAGTAGTTTAAGAAACAAGGTTTCTCTATTTCTTTAGCTCTGCACTCATACAGTGAGCTGCCCTTGGCAGTACTCAATGTCTAAAGTTTTAAAAGAAGGTAAACATCTCCCTTTAACGTCCACCCAAGTAATTTGTGCAATCAGAAATCACTGGGAAAATAAATATCATACTCTTAAATCTAAGCCATAGCATACATATAAAGTCTATCTACTTCTCTTATTCTACTTGACAAAGAAGATACACAGTGCATAAACTTCTATTTTTAGTAAGGAACATGTTAAGGTACAAAACTCCTTCCAAAAGGAAAAACAAATAAAGTAAATTTGCTGTACATAATTTTAATGTCCCTTTCTAAACACTTTTGTAGATATGCTAAGAGATGTGATCTGAGAGAAAATCTGAAGAAAACATTTTATTCCAACTAACATAATTCATCTACAATATAATTATTTTCTGCATTATTTTTTAATCTGATCACATAACTGTAATTTGGATAATTTCTAACTTTTAATTCAAAAATGTATATATACTATGTCTGGACTATTGCAAATTTTGAGCTGCTGAGATTCACATAAGTTTTAATGCATCAATCTGCCATCATTTGACATTTTAAATTTGTATTTAATTTTATTTATTTTTTTAATGAAAATAAAATAACAACATATTTTCCTCTCACCACTGTCTTTCTGTGCTTACATTGTACCTATAAAAGAACTAAATGTCTATGAAAATAGTAAGTGGGCAGACTTCTTAAACAAGCATACTCAGAGAAAAGTGATTAAATTCTTAGATATCTCCATGATACAGCTAGCTCAAAGGGACTCATGAATCTGAATGCCAGGATGCCTTATCTCTATACACAACTTTTATCATTTTTTTAAAGTTCATGGGTAAGATTACTGACTTAAATCTGAGAAAGCTTTATAAAGTATTTTTAATAAAAACTTCAATTTGAGGGAAAGGAAATCCTTTCTCCAGTACTGCTTTAATCAACTATAAAAAATTATTTGATTCTATATTCACTTATAAGCACTAGTCACCACGAATGGTCCCATGAATTTCATATTGTCATTATGTATTAAACTCAGGGACTAAATCTTTACTTAACCTAGCAATCACTCTACTTAAATGGATTGGGAAGATAACAGTTACTGATTATTTCAGTTCACTGTGTCATTTAAATGTTTAAATGCTATGAGTTACTGGAGGTAATATTGTGTTACTCTGTAGCAGTTTTAAGATTGAGTTACATAGGTTTGAATATTTGCTATAACTACCTACTAGCATGACCTCAAGCAAACTGTTTCGTTTCTCTGAATAGTGTCTGCATGCATAGAACAGGGGTATTACCTATTTTGTGAGAATTAAATGAATTACAGCATGCAAGAACTTAAGACTATCGTGAGGTATGTTTTCAGTAAATAATAGTCAAATGTTTCCACTTTATGTAAGCCATGGTTAGAGGAATTTAAACAAAATTTTTAACTTTCTTGAACTTCCATTTTTTTTAAAATTAGAGTTCTTGCTCAAGTGTTCTCTGCGCTACCATTCTAAACTGTACACAAACTAATGAATGTAACACTTACAGATTATAATTATTTAAATGTGTCCTTTACTATATGTGAATTACTGATGACAGAAGTTAGATTATTTACTTTGCATTTGGCATTCAATAAGCAGAACAAGAATCCATTTTTAACTAGAAATTTTGCCAATCTAGGGGTGGGAGGAAAAAAATAAGTATTTACAATTCTGTACATCTAGTTAAGTTAATTTTATAGTAAGGACAACATTAACAATGACTTTAAATAATTGACACTATTTTCCAAATAGTTTCATAATATATAAACTATCAGTGGCTATAGGAAGACTAACATTTACTGAGGGCCTACTGTGTGCCAGATAGTACAGTAATTTACACAAATTATCTTGTACAATTCTCAAAACAACCCTATTTTAATATTGGATAAGTAAAGACCAAAAGATTAATTTAGTTACGTATCACACAGTAAGTAAGCACCACTGCCAGGGGTTCTAACTCCAAAGTCCAAGCTACTTTCTTTACGTAATTCTAATTCACAAAAATCATAGTGATCATTTAATTGATTCCTACAAAGCTTTATTTGCCAGTGTTTATAAACGCTAGGTTCTGTTCATTTGGTATTCTAACCAATCTTTACAACATAAAAAATAAATCCTGTCACCTCATTTTTCACTGATAAATGAACAGACTGTAAAAAAAGGTAAAGAAAGAGCTGGGGATTTATTTCAGTGGTTCTGCTGCCTGCCTTGTAGGTGCAAGGTCCCAAGTTCAATCCCTGGTTCCACTCCCCAAAAAAGGTAAAGAAATTAATTGAGGACTTACAGCTAAAGTGTATCTGCTCTAGAACTGTGCTGAAATCAGAAGTCAGTAAAGATATGTAAAAATGTCCACTTGGGTTTAGGAAATGCCTAACAAACTTTAGTAACAGAACATCAATTAATGTTACAGAAGTATACCTAATGAAGCTTTCTAGAATACTATGCTTAGAACAAGTTAAGGAAACGATTTCTACAGTGAAGCATGCCTGTATTCCCAGTACTTGGGAGGCTGAGGCAGGAGGATCCCCTTGCAAGTTTGAGGCCAGCCTGGGCTACATAGTGAGTTCAAGGACAACATGAACCACATAGTGAGATCCTGCCTCAAAAAACAAAACAAAAAACCCAAGAAAATAATTCCCAGTCTGAAAGGAAAAATTATAACTAAAAATATATTTACACTGCAAACAGGCACAAAACAGTTCTAGAATCTGGAAAAACACAGTTTGCTACAGAGATGAACGCCATTCCCACTTCAACGCTTCTTTTCTTGGTTTACTATTCAACTCTACCCCAATCCTTCACCTGTCTGTTTCCCTTGTCTGTTTCCCTTGTCTGTTTTCACTCCTTTGCCCACCGGGCTACTGAATGACTTCCATTTTAATGCCTTCATAGATGTACTGATGTTTTAAAATTCTCCCAACACATTCATTATTCCCTCAGTGTTTTTATTTTAGCACTATTAACTGAACGGATAAAGGCATTGGTTATTGTTAAAAGTAAAAACCCAAAGACATTTCTATTTATTAAATAATGAACACAAGCCTGAGACATGAACTCACAGAAACGAAGTCAAAAGCTGACTCATGTTTATTAAATATACATGTCTTGAGCTAACACTGATATTCTATAGAAGTTTCTGGAATGTCCTATCTCTAAAATCTTTTTTTTTTGGTACTGGGGATCGAACCCAGGACCCTGCGCTTGCGAGGCAGGTGGTAGCACCACTAAGCTAAATCCCTGGCCCCTTAAATCTTAATAAAATTTTATTTTTCCTTCATTCTCCTTGCCTATGAGCAAATTTTTCATTATACTGGCAACTATTTAGCCTTATCACAATGCAGTAAATTTGTGAAATACCTTTTTCCACTTACAATACTGAACAATACTGAACCAGGTGGCAAATTCCTTTTCTTCTTGCTAGTTATCTTCTACCTCTCATTTATGTTAAACCCTGTCAGCCCTTCTTTTCGGTTTTTTCCTTTTTTGAGGTGGGGGTACAGTACTGGGGATTGACTCCAGGGGTGCTTTACCACTGAGCTAACCCTTAGCCCTTTTTAGTTTATATAAGTTCCCCAAGGTGGTTCTGAACTTGGGATCCTCTGCCTCAGCACAGCCCCACCTTCCCAGAAGCTGGGATTTACAGATATGTACCACCATGCCCCAGGTAATGCCCATTATTCCTCAGAATCCTTCATTCTCTATTAAAACCTTGCCACATATCACAGCACACACTAGGTTTTCCTCTGCCTGACCTCTTATTGTACCGTCTTTACCTACACTTAACAATTATTAAATTGAGAAGGCTATTTGCCATTTTGAACTTTTTTCTTAAACTATATGAGAATAAGATCTTTTGTATTAACTACATTAATCAATTTAAATGATTAGGTCGAAAATAATGTCTATCTGAAATGGGGAAAACACTCCAAACTAAACTGGCTGAAATGAATAATTTAAAACATCACAGCTTTCTATTATTTTAGTTACATCTTTAACCATCTATTTAACCTATCTACCCAGGGTTTTTTGTTTTTGTTTTTGTTTTTGTTTTTTTTTTTACTGGGGATCAAACTCAGGATCTCGCACTTATAAGGCAGGCGGTGGCACCACTGAGCTAAATCCCCAAATGTCTAAGTTTTATAAAAAGTCCCCTAATCTAAAACTTTTCCAATTTTTAGCCAACTCAACCTGTTCCATATAAATATATTACTGAAATTAACCAAATTATTCAGTACGGAGGCCGGTTCAAAGAAGTCCAAAATACAAACAATGGAATCCTATGCAGCCATTTAAAATGATGCTTTAAAGCCCTAAAGTTGTTTATGATACACTGTGATATGGGAATAAAACAGGCTATAAAATGGAAAGTATGGTGTCATCCTATTAAAGAATTCCTATGCCTTGAAAATGACATAAAAATACATAAAAATATTACTCTTACTTATAACTGGATGAATCTTATCAAGTGTTCATTTATTTACTCAACAGATTCCTACACAAATGTGTCAGTCACTGTGGTAAGTACTAAGGATGCAAAACCAGAAATCATCCTTCTGTTCTCAAGAATATTATAGAATAGAAGGGAGAGAATCATCAACACACCCTAGAAATAAATTCAAGTATATAAGTATTGCAAAGTGTTTGTTGCTATAAATAGGCACAACAGGGAAATTTAATTAGATAATTGGAGATTTAAGGAAGTAATAAATAAGAACTTACTAGCTGATAAGAAAAAGGCTATTTTTTGTTTGTTTCTATATCCCATAAACAAAAATGTATCACTTTTTAGTAAGAAAAAAATAATAAAACCAAAGGATCCGAACTCTTTTTTACTTTGTTTTCTCCTGTTAAAAAATTATTTTTGATACCATGTTTGGTTTGCATGCCTGTAATCCCAACAACTTAGGGGCTGAGGCAGGAGGAGTGCTGCAAATTTGGGGCCAGCCTGGCTCACATAATGAGTTCAAGGCTAGCTTGACCCACACAGCAAGACCCTAGCTCAAAAAAAAAAAAGTTATTTCTGTTCTGTTCTTAGTAAATCCCAGTTCATCTGCTTTGATAAAAAAGGCTTCGGGAATTTTAAAATTATTTTTAGGAATTTTTAAATTTTGAAAATAGGTTATGAGGGAAAATTTTTTAAATACCAGATTGTTTTCTACTTTATGCATTAAGTTTCATAATATAGAGCATGATGTGATGGACATTATATTATTCCAGTGGTTTCTACTTATTCTTTCATAAAAATACTTAAAAACTGCAAAACTTCTAGTATACTAAAATAATTAAGTCATTTTCAATCAGTCTTGTCTTTGTGCCTTCTAAAAAATCATCTCATATTAAAGGTGTAGGGAAAGTGGGAAGGGTGGGGGAAAGGCAATAGGGAGAAGAAAAAAATACGAGAAACTGAAAAAATGGAAATAAAGTGTTTGTAAATGGGGAGGGAAGGAGGGGGTGAAGGGAGGGCAGGGACAAGGGGAAAAAATGAGAATTAAGACCTATTATGTAAAGGTACAGAATCCCAATGATGAATGTAATTGTATTGTATACCTAGACTGTACCAATAAACTCAATAAAAAGAAAAAAAAATTATCTCGTATTACAATTAAGAAGGATCACTAACTTCAGAGATACCAAAAGTCAAAGCATCTGGTAATCAATACAAAATGGACCTTGACCACATATAGGATTTAACTCACTTTGAGAGCAAATCAGTCATGGATGGCATAGAATATTCTAAACTGTATTCTACTGAGTATATGGCCTATTGGTAACTACTTCTTGAAAAAAGCTCTGTATTAAAATAAACTTGAGAAAATACTAGGTTGGACAAAATTAAAGTTTTCTTTTTTTAAGACTTTCTAGAATCCTTGACAGACTTCAAAAGACTTATTCACATTTATGAAGTCCAAAAGGCTCTGAAAACTTTACAATGATAAAAATAATTTTATGGTTAATAATATCCAACCTAAACTCTTATGAGATTTTTAATAATCTTCATTTTATTTATCCATTTATCCTTTTGAGACAGGGTCTATGGGGGTGGTACTGGGGATCAAACTCAGGACCTTGAGCTTATGAAGCAGGCGGTGGGACCACTGAGCTAAATACCCGGCCCCAGGGTCTCATTATGTAGTTCCGGATCTTCGTGAACTCACTCACTTTGTAGCCCAAACTGACCTTGAACTACAATGGTCCTCCCTCCCTCAGCCTCCCAAATGCTGGGGTTACAGGTAGGCACCATCATGCCCAGCAATCTTCATTTCATTTTGTCTGACTACCCATAGTCTGTGGAAACAGTATTTGGTTCATAAGTCTAGGGTATTATTTCATAAGTCTTATATGTATTACAATACGCTTCTAAAATCTGAAGATTTCTGAATTTCAAAATAAATTTGATGGAATTTTCAAAACGCACTGTGAACCTCTACTAGTACCAAATATAAATCCATAAGAGGGATGTTTTTCAGGCTGGAGATTTGGCTCCGTGGTTTCATTGCCTGCCTCACAAGTGCAAGGGCCCGTGTTCGATTCCTAGTACCAAAAAAACCAAAAACAAACAAACAAACAAACAAAAAAAAGAGGGACGTTTTTCAAACTGATGGCCCTGGACCTCATTTTTATAATGTGTGAGAAAGTGAACTGGATTAGAATACGACCTAAATCAACTATAAAAAGCCACAATGTGCCCACCCCTAATTAAGGATTACAGGGCAAGCCTTTGGAAAAACAAGCAGCCTGAAATGACGTAAAACAAATGTTCGGGGTTGGGGATGTGGTTTAATTGTAAAACCCTTTCACAGCAAGTGTAAATTCCACCTCAGCACAGCAAGTAAACAACCGCCCCCATAAAAAACCCAAATGTTTTATTGTTATCATAACATCTTATGTAACACTGTTATATAATCAGTAAGGAGTTTAATATCTAATGAAAAAAGGAAACTGGCCTACAAGCACCAAGTACTAAGGAGAGAAACTCTTTTGCCATATCTAAAAATTTTAGACAGTGAAGACCTGACTTTCTAGAATTTGCTGAGACATTATTATACATTGTATTCAAGGTATTTGGACATGTACACAAGTACATTATTTTCAATTTTACCTATGTTAAGCCTTTTCTGTACAACTAACAAGTACACAAGTACTTCCTAAATTTGTCTTCTGAGTGATTTACTTGTCTAGAACTGGATTAAAAAATGGCCACAAATTTTCTCTGATTTCCAAATATCCTAAACTTTGATTTTTAAAAAAGTAGTAATACTTTATTACCTTACAGTATAAAATCCTTTTAATCCATTTAACATTGCTTTTATTTTACTCTTTCTACAACCTGAATAGAAGGTATTGTCAGTGTCTATTTTATTAACTATCAAAAGCAATGCCTGACTTTGAAAACATAAAGCAGTATCAACAATTAATAAAGTTTTTGTTGACAATGGTATTAATAAACCAATATCATATACTTTAGAATTTGAAAATATTTCAAATTTTAAAACAATATTTTATGTGCTAAGAGACTAACATTTTAAAGTGAACTTGCCAAATCCATCAAACTAAATTTATAAAAAACAAATGCATTTCTTGGAAAATTTAAAAGGCTTATTTTTGAACGTTACCTTTTAAAAATTGTTCCTTTTTATCACTTGGCTCAACAAGGACCACTGACATTTTCAGTCCAAAAAATAAAGCCTGTTTTGTACTTCTTTATCAATGATTAATTATACATATTTTAAGGCATATTGAATTGTATTGAATAATTTGAATGATTAAGGTATAACACCAACAATTTTAGCCAAACAAAACCTCACTCACTCATTTGCCAGCTCAGCATCAAATTTTTGCCAAATCTTAACTAACTCTGCTACAAAGGGAAAAAATAAAACCCTGAAATCCACAAGTAATTATGAACCACAACTTGTTTTGGTATTCAATTCCCATTTCTCCCCTAATTATTCAACTATTTATAAGGGTCAATAAAGATGTTCATATGCTTTTCTCTCATTTTTTCTATTGATAAACAAGACAACTAAAAGACAACAGGAAGAGCAAAAGAACTAGAGTAATTTTAAAAACAGAACTAACAACTTGATAGGATTTTTGCTGTACAAACTTACAAATCCTTTTACAGACATATGCTTTATGTCTTATTAGCTGATGTAATTTCCTTATCGTTCATATTATTTCTGGTTATAAAAACATATACTAAAAACAGTGGTGAAAAATATGTGATATGGAAAAAAACAGATCCAGAAAGATAAATGACTACTCTGGTTTAAGAAGTTAGTTGCTATGAAGTTGAATCTTGGGAATGTTATTTTCTGCTATCAGTGCTTATTCCACAACATTTTTACTGTGCTTTGCCTGGGAAAAATACTACTACCACAAGTGATGAGAAGCATCGCTTACAGAAGTGAAATGTAAAAATATAATGTCCAAATGTGTTCAACTGAGATTAAAGTGAAATAAACACATGCACATGTGCACACACACATTTACTCTGTCAATCAGAGTATTGTTTATCTGTCAATCAGAGTATGATGCATAATTGAAAAAACAATATGAATTACACCTAAATGTAATTCTTACTCATTTATGTTAGCTTACCAGATTTGTGCTTCTTATGTTTTGCTTTCTTTTTGATGATCAGTAACTTATTCTGGATCTCAGGCTTGTAAGACTTGAATGCAAGAGAATGAAGGCCTTCATGCTTTCTCTGTAAGTTTTCATTCAAAACATCCTTTAATTTCTTTTTTTTCTTTTTCTTCTTTTTTGCCCTCATTTTAGTTAGTTTTATTTTCTTGGGGCTCTGCAGAGACTGCTCTAATAGAATATCCCTCACAACTTTGTGGCAGTTAATCTCTGGATGATCAATGTGACTTCCATTGACATGAATATGGAAAGATTTTAGAGCATTTTCTTTTAATTGACCAGGTTCAGTCTTTATTCTGGAAGCCTCACCATATTTTTCCTGATTTCCTATAAACCTTATTTCACCTGGACTGAGTGGCTCTCCAAAGCCAGTAACTTCCCCTGGACTCTCTGGTTTCTCCAAATTTTCTTTACAATAATCAGTTTTTTTAATTTCACAGGGCCTGAGAATTCTAATTTCACAGTTGGATTTTACTTCCATTTCAACAGAGATATCATGATTATCAAAGCTGATGTTAGCATGGGAACAAGCTAGATCAAAAGCAATTTCCTGCTCTTTCTTGAAGGCAGAGTGCAGGCTTTCTCTACCACACCTATGTTCTGCATTACTTGAATTAATACAGTCACTCTTTAATTTCTCCAGTTTAATCCGAGGTACTCTTTGTATTTTAATGGGTGGAACTGGAAATTCTGGGGCCCTAAAGGGTCTCTGTTTATAAATCCGTACATCTGCTCCACAGAACTGTGGAAAATGTACATATGCGTTCTCCAAATAATCATAACCAAGGATAACTTCCCTGCATTCATGAATTGGCTGTCCAAGTACAGCATCTTGAACTTCTTTTTGTGTTTCATACACAAAATCACAGAGACCTTTAAGTAACCATACTTTTTGGTAAAAAGGTAGTTCATGAAAAGGTTTTTCTTCCAACGGATTAACTGCTCCAAGTACTTTAAAAAACTGAGGACACAATCCAAGTTTTTCAGCACAATTATTGGGATTTTCAGTCTGCCCTACAGCAGTGTACCACTGCTGCACTTTCTGTCTCAATGCTGCTTCCCAGGTCCTATAAGGCAAAGTAGGTCTTCGATGTAAGGTAGGTCTGCGATGGGGAGGACTTAACAGAGAAGTCATTATTTTAGACAGAAAAGCATTACACTGAGGCATCAGAAGACATCGTTCCAGTTCATAAAAGACTATTTCTGGCAAATTTAGAATTTGCTGGGCTAAACAAAGGAAATGTCCAATGGCTGGAATTTCCCACATGTTTTCCATATAAGTTGGAGCTGCCTGAGCGAGAAGTTTTCTTTCCCATTCTTCTATTTCTTTTTGGCAAGCTTCTTCTGCTTCTTTTCTTTCCTGCTCCCGAAGCCTAAAGAAAATTTAACAGATGGTAGTATTATTAGAGGATAACATAAAACACTAAATTTTAAGGTTATATTTATCTTCAATCAATAAACTGATGATTCTAGTTTTTCAAATCAGTACAAAGTGCCCCATAAAAAGTACAATTTTTTTTCAGATGAGGAAATAATGTATCATTTCACCCTAAATTTTCCTGATGGAGGATTACCACTGGCAATGTCTTCAAGGTAAAATTCTTCAACTTACAATGTATATCAACTTCACTTACTATATGAAGTCACAGCAGAGTTTGATTATAGTAATTTCTAAAAGTAATCATTAGTTTACAGAAGAGCTATAAAGATATTCTCTTCTGACCCCATAATTCCATCTCTAGAAAGTTATATTAAAAAGAAAAATATTCACTATACACAAAAAGTTATATATCTCTCAGTGTTTTTCATATAAGAAAAATAAAACTCTACAGAAATGTCATTACTAGCTAAGGCAATAAATCAACCAATATGCCCATTAACAGATGAAAGAATAAGGAAAACATATTGCATATGCACAATGGAATATTATTCAGCCATAAATAGAATGAAATCATGTCAATTTTAACAGCATGAAAAGAACTGGAGGTCACTATGTTAAGTGAAATAAGCCAGCACAGAAAGACATATGCCACATGTTCTCACTCATTTGTGGAAACAAAAAGTTAATCTTATAGAAAGTTAATCTTATAGAAGAATGGAGTGGAGACTAAGAAGAGCAGTTGGGATAAGGTGAGAAATAGAAGTTAGATAAGGGGAACCAAATACAGAAAGGAGGAATTAGTTCTTGTTTTCTATAGCACAAGAGGGTAATTTTTGGTTACACTACTCTGAGAAATATTTCAAAAATAACTAAGAACTGTATGAAGTTCCCAACTCATAAAATTGAAATGTGTACCATGTATTTTGCCCACTTTTAAATTGGCTACTTCTCTTTGTACATCTAAGTCAGTTAATAGATTTATGATTCAGAAAATTTTTCTCTGTCCTATGGGTTTTTGTTTTTTTGTTTTGTTTTGTTTTGTTTTTTGTACTGAGGATGGAACTCAGGACCTTTGGGCTGAGTTACATCTCTGTAGCCTTTTTAAATTTTGTATTTTGAGAGGGATCTTGCTAATCCATGAGTTTCCCAGGCTGGGCTCAGCTGGGGTCAAACTTGTGAGCATCCTCCTTTGGCCTCCCAGAGAACCGATATTACAGGTATGCCCCACCTTGCCTGGCTAAAAATCAACCCAGTAGCTAGAGTTCATGCCACTAGGGGAAGTCCTTGGATTTGCTGCCACCTAACATTTCTGAACCTATTTAAATATCACCCCAAAAATGTGCCACCCCAGCTATGTCACTGCTAAAAAGTGATTAATATTTAAGAGACAGAATGCTTATTGCACTGATTTGATCATTACATACTGTATAAATGTATCATATTTTCACAGTGTGCTCCATAAAGATGTACAAATATATCCCAACAAAAAATAACTTTAACTATTGAAAAAAGGAGAGAGAGAGAGATGAGAGTGAGAGAGAGAGAGAGAGAGTGCATGACTGCATGCATGCAAACACACACACAAAAAGTGTATCAGGTCAAGAAAATGACAGTACAATACCTCACAAGTAATGAGACTGTGATCATTTCCTTAAAAATTTCTTTACTAGTTTGTCTATAAAACCTCCTTAATTAAAAAGTCATATAAAGACAGGCATACATTTTTGTGACCCTAGATTACGCAAGTTTTTAAAAAATGACATTCAAACACAAGCAACAAAAGATAAAACAGATAAACTGGATATCATCAAACTAGAAATTTGTGCTTTTAAACAATATCACTAACAAAAAATCCACAGAACAGAGAAAATTTTTCTGAATCATAAATCTATTAACTGACATGTATAAAGAGAAGTAGCCAATTTAAAAATGGGCAAAATACATGGCACACATTTGTCCAAAGAAATATCCACAGACAAATGCAAAAAAACAAGCATGCACACACACACACACACACACACACACACACACACACACAAATGTTCAATATCCATTAGGGAAATGAAATAAAAAACACAATGAGGTATCACTTCATATCCACTAGAATAGCTATTATAAAAAAGACAGACAAAAAATACTGGTGAAAAAGTATATTTAGAAAAGAAAAGCTGAAAATCAAATACAATGTTCATTACAAGAAACTAGAAAAGACACCTAATCAGTGAAAAAATAAATAAATGCACAATAGAAATATCACCCAACTCAAAAGTTTTCTGAAAACATTAATGAAACTGATAAACCCTTGCTAAAACTGATCAAGGAAACATATATGCAAGCACGCATGCACACACACTACCAGTACCAGAAATGAAGATAGGCACATCCTATAGGTCATATAGACATGTACATATAAAATAATATAAAGATATTGTGAACAATTTTATGCCAATAATTTAAATGAAATGAACTTTTTTGGAAAAACATAAATTAACAAAGTTGACATAAGGAGCATGAAAATCTGAATAGTTTTATATGTGCTAACTAAAGTACATAAAATAAAGTATATGACTGATATCTTCCCAGGGCTGGGGATTTAGCTCAGTGGCACCACAAGGTCCTGAGTTTGATCCCCAGCACAAAAAAAAAAAAAAAAAAAAAAAAAAAAAACCTTCCCACATAGAAAAACTGAGGTCCTAAAGACTTCATTGCAAGAATGCACTTAAATAATTTCAATTAATGAAATTATTAGAAACAAAATATAAACCAGATAAAGAAGCAAAAAAGGAAGCAACTAAGAAATTACCAGAATGACCTAGGCAAATTTGAAAAAGAATTTGTAGAAATAATCACAAAAGTAAAAACTCTATGGATGAGTTCAATAGCTGATTGTACAGAGAAACAAAGAGCTAGGCTGGAAATTTAGCTCTGTGGCTCCACCACCTGCCTCAAAAGCACAAGGTTCTCAGTTAAATCCCCAATACTCTAAAAAAAAAAAGACAAATTTCAAAGAATTCAGTGTAAAAAAGATAAAGATAACACAAAACTAAAGGAGAACTGATTAAAATCCAACATACAAGCAAATGGTGGTCCAGAAAAGAAGAATAGAGAAGTCAGGTAGGGGAGTAGTAATAATGGAAATTTTCAAAGACATAATATCTGAGAACTTTCCAGAACTAATGGATATAAATCCTCAATTCAAGAAGCCCAAGAAAATGGAAATGAAAATTCCAATGGAGTATATGATGCTAAAACAATGATAAATCTGAAAAAAGAACAATTAAACCAAAAAATCTTACAAGCCATTTAAGGAATAGAGAGATTACATATGTAAGAAGGACAAACTGAGACAAAAATTATTAATAGCATCAAAATAAAACATTAACAACAGTATCATTAAAGTGTTGCATTAATGTCATTGTCAGACCAGAATTATACAACCAGCTAAGTTATCATTTACAGATAATGGTAAATGAAAGCTATTTTCAATTAGACTAAAGTAAAAAAAAATTTTCTTTTTTTTTTTTTAAACTGGGGATTGAACTTGGGTCCTTGCACTTGCGAGGCAGGCGGTGAAACCACTAAGCTAAATCCCTGGCACCTAAAGTAACAACTTTTAAAATGTATTCTGCTTCTATCCAGTTGAGAAACATGAATCAAATGATACTCTCCCTTAAACCAGCCCCCAAACCCCAATAAAATATAGGAAAAATTGATCTTTTCAAGAACCTAAATATCAAGCAAAGGACAGCAATCCCTGAGAGATAGGAAACAGACAAGGTGAGTTCTACAATTGTCCCAATTTATTATTGCCTTGAGAGAGTTTCCAGACCAGAAAGAGGATGCAGAAAGAGAGGGCACCCAGGCAAACCCCACAGACTTTGAGGAGTCCAGAGAAGCCAAAGCAGTCAGTCTGTAAGTCACAGTAAAGGAGAAAGCTGCATAAAAACAGAACACCCAAGATTTATAGGACATTCCTCCGCAGTATTTAGAAGACTGACTAGTGCACACATCTAAAGAGAAAACCCAAGGCTAGATAGGGGAAAAACATACAAAAGATTAGAGTACCTGTTCTACCAACAGTGCCTGTTCCACCAACCACACTGAAAAACTAGACTCATAATTCAAAGGATAATGAGTAATACTCAAGAAGATCTTGCCTTGATAGTACAGAATAATTAGACCTAGGCTAAGAATTGCTCTGAGCCCAAGTAATAAATCATAGAAGATCTAAAATTATCAGATCATTGCTAAGTAACGACTATGTTTTTCAGGAAAATGTTCAGGATGTATAGAAATACAGAAATACTCAGCATTCATCAAGGTGAAATTTACAATGTTTGGTATCTAAACCAAGACTATCAGGCATATAATGAAAAAGATATACATAATTCATGATGATAAAAAAAATCAATCAAAATGGATACAGAAATGACGTATGTTAGAATTAGCACAAGGTCCTGAGTTTGATCTCCAGTACCAAAAAAAAAAAAAAAA